TTTATAGGTTACAAGTTGAATAAATTTAGACATAATTACAATTCCTACGTCGTTATCTATATCCCATGATTAAGACAAATCATATTACATATTACAGCATAGTAAGAAAAGGTCGCAATTTATTTAAGATATACGTCATATATCACATGATTAAGCTGATCATGCTACACATTCATGTAGAACGCATTTGAAAAAATAGGTTTTTACATACAAACATCGATCATTAATAATGTACAACGTACTGCAAATTTACAAAATATCGTAATACACGATACTTATTACTAATGGATATTTTTACAATCCACCTGAATTCCAACTGAGCGAGAAAATGGACTTTAAAATGGACATGGACATCATTCCCAGAGAGATGGACAAACATCAATTGTGGCATAACTGTAATAGAGATAAACCTTGGTTCCCTGTGTTTAGATCGGAAAAACCTTGTGATACAGGACGTTGTGTTTGGAATAGGACAGAAGGACCTGGGCATATACTTCATACCCGGTGGATGAAAACTGAACATTTTAAAGATTGCTCAATCAACCCGCACCACAAGTTGAACACACACCTAGTTAACATATGCACTTGAATTAAATGTGAAAAAGTTTTCCCTATAAATTGCGACCCTTTTCATTGTCCAAGCAAAATCAAAAATATCAAAATTATATTTCATTAAAAAAAGCACTTTGTAATCTTCGTTTTCAAACTCATGCTTTTTATAACTATATATTTTGCATTAATAAGAATATTTAGATGTTAAACAAAATGAAATGTACTTTTAACACTTTGGTTGAATTAAGAATAAAAAATGAATGCTTTCGTTGTCCATGAAAGAAAGAGATAACTGTAACGCTTTGTTAACTTTTATAGTTGTCGAGATATCAGTGAAATGAATTCAGTTGTACCGCCTAGTCTGAACTACCCAGTGTAGAGTCGACCCAGCAAGTTGGATGCAACAAATGCAGCCGGGCAGGATCACAGTGAACCATGACAAGGAAAAGTCACTCATCATTGTCACTCTTAAAACAGAAAGTCACTTGAAGGTACGCTTACAGTCCTTTTTTCTCTTAAAGAAAACTTTATGTGTTACATGTTGAAGATATATAAAAAGTGTTAAATTATTAAACCTAAAGTTTACACTATAAACCAACTTAAATTATAAACTAGGGAATATAAACTTTATTTACTGTTATTATACATTTTCACATAACACTAAATTGAAAATACAGGAAATATAAAAAGAATCTGGAAATCAAATAAACCTATTCGCAAACAGCGTCTGAAAATCAAATCACTTATGATAAATGCTCTAGAATAGGATTTTATCTATGTATACTATAGCTTGGAAACCCAGTTTTGCCTTGAAAACTGATTTTTTACTATAAAAGTCAAGTCACCCAAAATATTACTTTTAAGCCTAGCTACGATCATTTCCGTAATTCAAGCGAGTTCCCGATAAAAAATTGAGGCAAATCGGTCCAGGGGTTTCAGAGGTATGATGGGACAAACAGGCAAACAGAAATGATCGTCATCATTGAAGTACTTTTGAAAATCCCCAGGGGTTTTCCAATGAAATTGTCAGGGTCTTCATTCTCCAATGAAAACCCAGGGGTCTCCAAAAGGATAGGTGGGACAGAGCGTCTCCAATTTAAAAATATCCCTAGATTAAGCTGGGGGTCTCAAATTTAAAAATATCCCTAGATTAAGCTGGGAGTCTCAAATTTAAGAATATCCCTAGATTAAGCTGGGAGTCTCAAATTAAGAGGAAAACAATTGTCTGACTCTAATTTATTTACGAAAAACAAGCAATGTAAATTAAACTTTTGTAAAAATATGAGAAATAAAACTTCTTTAGATATTAATTGCAATATGTTACTTTTACATGTTATGTTTCTTTAAAAAATGTAAAAAAGAACCTTGGTAAAAAATATGTTAAATGGTGTGGGTTTTGCAACATTTGTTATTGTTATGGTTGAATAATGGAGAAAATAACCATTAAATACTCCATCTTAGTTTCATTATATATGTATTCTATACTCAAGGTATTTATTCATTATTAATACAACTTTACCTTACACAAGGGGAAACCAGTTGTTTAAAGGCACTGTAGACGTAATTTCAGGTGAAACTCCGTGCATGAAGTGGCATGTCTGATTACCCTATGGTAACTCTTATTTTTTTTGTAGCTATTTTTTTTTAAAGGGAGTGACCGGCAATGTATGGTGGTCAAACTGAGTAGTATTGTAGAGATTTTTTTAGGATTCATTTGAGAAATATAAAACGTTTTAAAGATCTATTATTACTGAGTTTGGGCGCAAAGTCGACGCTCAAAATCATCAATTTGGGTGAGTACTTTTTTGAGAATCATTTTTTAAAATTATTAAATAACGAGGACAAAAATGTGACAAAATTCTACATACACTAATTTTTTGTTTAGGAACAGGTTGAGAAATTAAAATTAACTCTTATCATCGGAAATAAGTAACCTTATTCAATCATTAGTTGCTGTAATCTCTCATACTAAGATTTTCTGGAATTTTTATTGAAAAGATGACATTTGAAGAATTTGTAGAAATCTGCAAACAAATTCAAAGAAAATAATAAATTCAATATAATGATGAAAACAAAATAATTGATTCTAACATTGATTTATTGACAAATTTCTTTTAAAAAAATCTAATTAGTTTACTTTAGAATTTTTACTATATTTTTGTCGTCGTTAATAAATAATAAAAAAAAAACGATTCTTATAGATCTTTAAAACGTTTTTAATGTTCCAAATGAATCCTAAACATTTTCTCTACAATACTGCAATCTCAGTTCAACTACCAAACATTGGCGGTCACTCCCTTTAACACACGTGTTGAATTCTGAAAATTTTCTCAATTGTCTCTGTGGCTCGTACAGAAAACCCGCAATTAAAATTATCCAAGAAATATAGAATGATAACTCAATCATCCTTAATCAATAAAAGAGCACTGGTGTGAATCGGAATTGGAATTCTATAAACAGAGTGTAACTTTAACTACACTGTTAGAAAAAAATAATTATAGTTTATTTCCAACTTTACATTTTCTCAAAAACTGAAAATAAAATGTCGGATCTGAAGAAAGGAACTATTTTTGTCACAAAATCTGATTTTGATATTTAATAGCAAATAGTATTTAATAACAAAGTTTTCCCATCATAGTAATATTTAAAATTCATTATTGATCTTTGAGGACTTTTAGCAGAAACAAATATGTATAATATGTTTTTAATATATGTAAAAAAACATATAAGATTCGATATTTTTATCAACACTACAAATAAAATACATCATAAAAATTCCTTCTGTTTTTCCTTGCAATTTCATTTTTAACAAATAAATAACACATTTTATGATGTATGTATTCCATATTTGAGCCTGGACTAAGCCAGGCGAGATGCATTCATTTCTTCTATTTAAATTCCATCACGTTTTGGTCTAAAATTTAATAATCTTAAAAGGGAGTGACTGGCTAGGTAAAGTTGTTGAACGGAAAGTGCAGTATTATAGAAATATACCAGGATTCATTTGATACCAATAAAACGTTTTTACCTGTTAAAATTGCTTCACAATCACAAAACCGAAAATTTGAAAAAAGGTTGATTAATTCATCGGGACGTTCTGTAGATTTTGATAACCGTTGTATACTACTGTCATATGTTATTATCTATATATATATAAATTTTTTATATGTCCGATCATAACTCATAAACCACTTGACCGATTTGCCTTTTTTTTATTGGGGAACTCAGGAGAACCACGGGAATGTTTATAGTTTGGTTCTGAGATTATAAGTTAAGTAGGTCTACACTTTTATAGCTCAAATTGTAATTTTACGACCAAGCGCGGATTAACGGCGAGATTACCTACCCTGGACAACGCCGGGTTCTCAAGGTAGTACTGTATGTTCTGACCTGCACTGTATTTTACTACCATCTTAATACGAATACAACATTTTAACATCAACATTTATTTACATTTATATTTTTTAAAAATTCTAGAATAATTTTGTAAACATTCCAAATCACAACATATTAGGATCAAAATAAATGTTCTTAAACATTTTTTATTTAGATTTAAGATTGTTAAAAAGGAAAAAATTACATAATTTTTTTTAATGTTTTGAAAAGTTTTGTACCAAGTACTGTGCCCTACTGGAAAACACAAACAGTTAGCAAATCAGACCTAAGGGACTATACACACTTTTCTTCAAGATATCCCCCATTTAAAGAGTTGTTATACCGATTACCAACGGTACCTTTTGCACCCGAATCCGAGTATTACTGAGAAAGATGGGTCTGTCCTAGGGTACGGGTACTGTTCTGAATCGGACTTGAGGGTTACTTGAAACTTTGTCAACAGTCCCTTTAAACTAGTTTATACAACGACGACAAAAACACATTTTTTAATCTTAGTTTGATAAATCAAAATGCTAACCATTGGTTTAAATTCAGAGTTACATTTTCTTACAATGCAAAATTGTTGTTCATTTAATGAAACACATTTATTTTGTTATCTAATGAATTGGTCCTACTATACATAATCTAATTTACAAATATACATTTCAATAGGTTTACATTACTACACAGCCGAGAAGGTTTAGAATATTTATCATTCAATACTCAGAACAAGGAAAAAAGTTGAAAAAAGTAAAAAAGAATTTAAATTGAGAAATTAAAATGTAAATAAGTTTATTGTAGAATATCGTTTAGTATTTAGAAGTTTAGAAGGCAATCAAATCTAATGAACGGAACACACTTGCAACAAACTATAATTTTCTTTCCAACCTGATCGTTTAAATTTTATGATGTTTCATACTTAGATTATTTGATCTATCTGAATTCATGCCGAAAATATCAAAGGTCTCCGACAGTTGGTTGAAACACTACAGGGATTAGAAAATCAGAGTTTGTGGCAAAAACTTAATTCCTTTTGTTTGACTATTTGATTTATTAATATTCATAATTTGATAAATCAAACGTTCAGAATTTAAAAATTTGATTTTGATTCGAATCCATTCGGAGATTTTTTAAATGAGAATATTTCTTCCTTGTTCTAGAATGTTATGATTAAACACATAAAAATACATTGAAACAAGAAACAAGAACATGTAATATTACAAATATATTTTGATAGATATTTCGTATCCAAGAAAACGACCGTTTTAACATGATACAGTGTGGGTCACAAAACACGATTTTTTTGCAAGTAAGAATGGCTAGAAATTTACTTTGATTTCACCCTGTTAAATATTTAAATGTTATTTTAAATTTTAAATCGCTTGAAAATTAGAAATTTCTGACAAAAATCGTGTTTGGTGAAACACACTGTATCAGAATATTCGTTTCTCTCATGTTATTCTCCTGGAATGTTAACAACAAGTTGGCCAGTGGGGAACATAGGAATTCATCCAAGGGGGTTGGGCCCCTTTTTATCTTCCCCAACCATTCTTTTTCTTTTCCAAAGAGGCTCGGTCACCCCCTTTATTTTCAGTACCAATGTGAACAAATACATCGTACTCATTCTTTTTCGAAAGACGGAAACTTGATTCATTGATCTATGGATCTATTAATCTATTGATCTATTGTTCTATTGATCTATTGATCTATTGATCAATAGATCAATTAAAGGTTTGTTATACCCCAAAGAGAGTGTTCATGAAAAAAAACGAAATCATGAGTAAATTATGAATTATCATATTTTCATTTTGTATTTCGCTCTTTCAAAATGAACACCCCCTTTAAACCAAACAACATCTTTTTTGTTACTGTTTACATCGACATATTTACTTTAATTAACATTAAACATGAAAAGCCCAAAATTTTAGCCAAGCACTCCCAAACCATTCCCCTTACTTGCAAAAATAAACCTGTAAAACCGTTTCAAACTATGTTTAAAATTATACACACTGTTTTGAAGTCTAAAATTTATGAATGGGACTAATTCGGTTTGAGCTTCTGCTGCTGGTTTAAACTCAAATTTGCTGGAAAAGTTGAATGTCGCAATATAATATTTAGGATTTAGAAAAAGTTTTAAATCATTAAAATACCAAATACACATGCTTTGAAACGATTTTATTATATTCTTAAAACTTGTTTTTAGAGTTTTGAACGTTTTTTAATTTCCAAATCCGAGTTCTTCAAATTGTTAAATCTTTTTTTCATCTAAAGTTGAATCCGCTAGTTTTCATCTAGAGTTAAATCTGCTAGTTTTCATCTAAAGCTGACTCCGCTAGTTTTCTTCTAAAGTTGAATCCGCTAGTTTTCATTTAAAGTTGAATCCGCTAGGTTTCATCTATAGTTAAATCCGCTAGTTTTCATCTATAGTTAAATCTGCTAGTTTTCATCTAAAGCTGAATCCGCTAGTTTTCTTCTAAAGTTGAATCCGCTAGTTTTCATCTAAAGATGAATTCGCTAGTTTTAATCTAAAGTTGAATCAGCTAGTTTTCATCTAAAGTTGAAACTGCTAGTTTTCATCTAAAATTGAATCCGTCAGTTTTCATCTAAAGATAAATCCGCTAGTTTTCTTCTAAAGTTGAATACACTAGGTTTCATCTTAAGTTGAATCCGCTAGTTTTCTTCTAAAGTTGAATCCGCTAGTTTTCATCTAAAGATAAATCCGCTAGTTTTCTTCTAAAGTTGAATACACTAGGTTTCATCTTAAGTTGAATCCGCTAGTTTTCTTCTAAAGTTGAATCCGCTAGTTTTCATCTAAAGATAAATCCGCTAGTTTTCTTCTAAAGTTGAATCCGCTAGTTTTCATCTTTAGTTGAATCCGCTAGTTTTCATCTAAAGATAAACCGCTTGATTTCTTCTAAGAGGAATCTCTCCATTATCACAGCTAAATAATCCGCTAGGTTCACACCACTAGGCTAACTAGTCATCTAAACACATTATACCTACAGTTGAATAGTTCTTAAATCGTTTGTACAGGGTTAACCACAAAGGATGAGACTGCAAAGACGACCTGAAAATCTGACTATTATAAATTTAAGTCTTTAACTTGAAAATTGATCTCTTAATGACTTAATCAATGCTCAGACTCAGAAAGAAACAAGTTTACGATTGCAGAGAATAATCAATATAAGAAAACAAAAAGTATAAATTCTGTACAGTCGTCTCTGAAGTCTCATCCGTTGTAGATAATCCTATATGCTCAGCCTGAACTAGCCAGGGCGAGAAGCTTTCTCGGTTTCTTTAATTTGAATTTCATCGCGTTTTGGTTTATAATTGTTAGCCTCTGTAAATGTAATCAGTGACGTCATATGCGGATTTTATCGGTCTATGCTAAGGAGACGACATTTCCCGTATATTGGAGCGCATCGAGAGTAACCCTCCTTATTATAAAAGTTAAAAGTTTCTGCGAATTCCTCTGATTTTCTAAAGGAAAGATAGGACGCAGCTCTGTAATGTTCCTGTGCAATTGAACAGATAAATTGGCAAAGTTTTATCAGCAATGGCTGATTTTTTAAAGAAATATTTGATTTTAAATAAACTTGTTTTTATGATATTGACAAACTCGGTCATGACAGAAACAAGGATTCGAAACCAAAAAAGTTAGAAAGAAAGTCATATATTGAAAGTCATAATACCAAATCTAAGGCTGAAACTTCTAAATGAATACAAGGTTTCGAAACCCCTTATCTCTTTTTTTCTGTCACATTTATTAGAATCGAAAATAAGTGTAAGAAAGAGAAATTCTCATTTTCATATTTTATGTTTTTTTCTTCATTTTTTTACTCACACGCTTAGAACATGTTTTCTTTTCTAAACTTTTGAACTTGAGACTGAGAGAGAAAAAAAACAAATTTGTTAATACTAAATCCTAATCCCTTTCTTCGTGATTTATGAATTGTCATTTGTCTAAAGCGTCAGATAAATCCCAGAAATGTTTCTAAGATTAAACGGATGAGACAAAAATATGTTGATTTTGTATTAGTTTGAAATTTTCGTAGAATTTGGTATTTTTCAACACTTAAGGTTTATTGGCTTTAAAAGGTCCTTTAAAAGAATCAATTAGGCGTTTTTCACATGGCAAAATCAGATTTTCTATAAGTATGAAAGGATGAAAGGATGAAAGAATGAAAGGATGAAAGGATGAAAGAATGAAAGGATGAAAGGATAAAGTACTAACCTTCCAACTGTTTGGTTCTGTACGAGGATCGTGTGGGGTGTTGGCAGTTTTGGCAGTTGTTACAGTGAATGTGCCCAGTGCTGAAATCAGTTTATATTAAAGTAATTGTTCACTAAAATGAGTTTATATGAAAGTAATTGTTCACTAAAATCAGTTTATATTAAAGGGATTGTTCATTAAAATTAGTTTATATTAAAGGAATTGTTCACTAAAATCAGTTTATATTAAAGGGATTGTTCACTAAAATTAGTTTATATTAAAGGATTTGTTCACTAAAATCAATCTATATTAAAGGGATTGTTAACTAAAATCAGTTTATATTAAAGAAATTGCTCATCACTTTATCAAAGGGATTGTTAACCTATTATTTGAAAATACGCATAATACCCTAAATATTAATTTAGAATCACAATTAAGTTTGCCTAAGGGTCTCAGGAATATCTTTAAGTGGTAAGACAAACTTAAAAATATAACAAAATATAGACTTTATCTCTTTGGTTGACATTTTCAAATTTAAAACATTAAATGTTCCAGCTTGGTCAAGAAATATACACAAGGAAAACTCGTATTTTACCGAAAAATATGTAATCTTCAATGAGCTATGTACAAAACATCATTACATTCCTCCCAGCATAAGGTCACTTTAATTGTAAAGAAAGATATGTATGGTCCTAGTCTATATTTCTTGAATTGAGAATTATATGTAAGTTCCTAGTCTATATTTCTTGAGTTGAGAAATATATGTAAGTTCCTAGTCTATATTTCTTGAGTTGAGAAATATATGTAAGTTCCTAGTCTATATTTCTTGAGTTAAGAAATATATGTAAGTTCCTAGTTTATATTTCTTGAGTTGAGAAATATATATAAGTTCCTAGTCTATATTTCTTGAGTTAAGAAATATATAGTCTATATTTCTTGAGTTGAGAAATATATGTAAGTTCCTAATAGTCTATATTTCTTGAGTTGAGAAACGTTCTTAGAATTTTGCCCAATCATGATTTGTTTAGAGAGCACTAAAGTTAAAATTGATAACTTAACTTTCTTAAACTTTTAAAAAAGTGAGATTAAGCACTCTAATTAAGAAAAAATTATTGCTTATCCAGTGAAAGGGGCCTTTTTTCTAAAGATAACAATTTCATTATGTAATTGTGAAACATTTACTAGCGCTCCAGTCAAACGAATGCATGATGGACCTTGATAAGAATTTTTAAAAATAATCAGAAATATGTCAAATATCTTTTTTGTCACCCTTCATTAATATTGGTCTCCATTATCGCTGTGGGAGACTTGGCACTGATTATAAATAACAGATTCAGATAAAAGCGAAAACACTTTTTATCTAATTTAAAGGAATTCAGTCTTTGCCACATACTCAAATTTTCTTCTTTCTACATCTTTTTAACTTTGAATCCTGATGATGTAAACCTTTAATAATTCAGACTATCTGATCTAACAGAAATATTGAAATATCTAAGGTATATGATGTAAACCTTTAATAATTCAGACTATCTGATCTAACAGAAATATTGAAATATCTAAGATCTATGAGATAGGGTTGCAAAGATATTGGAATTATTAAACCAGAGACTGTGGCAAAGACTTCTAATTCAAGTCTTAAAGGGACTATAGGCGTAATTTCACGTAAACCTCCATTTATAAAGGTCCGATTCACACCAGTGCCCTTTAAACCTCATGATCTGAATGACATTGAGGAAGATATTGTTGTTTTTCTAATAATCTATCTCACTTTTCTTTTCATAAAGAACCGCGATTGAAAAAAATCAATTTTCAGACCAAAAATCAAGGATAACTCTGTCATATTACAACATAGATGTGAAAAGGGTTCCACCATTGAAAATCGGACACCTAACCCTTTAACTGTAGTGTTTCCTAAAATTGCGTTAATATACCCTTAACAAATGCTTTAATAATGAATTGTATACTTATGAATGGCCCGGTAGTAGAGTATTAGAGGGATTAGGAGAACACAGTACACAATAGTTAGTACAACAGTAACTTCTTCCACCTAGAGTACAAAATTGTTAGTACAACAGTAACTTCTTCCATCTAGAGTACACAATAGTTAGTACAACAGTAACTTCTTCCGCCTAGAGTACACAATAGTTAGTACAACAGTAACTTCTTCCATCTAGAGTACACAATAGTTAGTACAACAGTAACTTCTTCCATCTAGAGTACACAATAGTTAGTACAACAGTAATTTCTTCCACCTAGAGTACACAATAGTTAGTAAAACAGTAACTTCTTCTACCTAGAGTACACAATAGTTAGTACAACAGTAACTTCTTCCACCTAGAGTACACAATAGTTAGTACAACAGAGATCTCTTGTATCTAGAGTTTACAATATGCTTATGTTTTTCTGTCTCAATTAATATAATCTCTATATAAAATAGTAGCAGAAGATTACCATTGCTAACATACATTATGTTTTTTTTTGTTTTTTTTTTGTCGCAATATACATGATCTGTATAAAATACTATGCAGAAAACTATACCATTGCTAACATACATTATGTTTTTGTCGCAAAATATTTGATCTGAATAAAAAAGTATCATACATTATGGGTTTTTTTCGCAATATATATGATCTGTATAAAAATTAAATGAAGACTACCATTGACCATTGATAGGATCTGCATAAAATAACCGCAGACATAACATTCATAACAGACTCTCTTATTGCTATCTTTTATGTTTTTGTTGCAATATATATGATCTGCTTAAAATAGAAGCAGAAAACTATCTAATTGCTAACATTCATAACAGACTCTCTAATTGCTATCTATTATGTTTTTGTTGCAATATATATGATCTGCATAAAATAGAAGCAGAAAACTATTAAATTGTGTACATGTTGATTTTATTTTCTCGCAATTGTATATGATCTGTATAAAATAGCCTCAGAAGACTATCTAACTGCTGATTTTTTTACAATTTGATAAAATTCTTTTTAAGTACATCGCTTACCTCCTCATTGTACTCTGGGTTCTCTTTACTCACATACTTGTTGTACCCAGTCCAACTCCAGTACAACACCAGTACACTCATCGAGCCTGTTACAGGGGAACTTGTAAATATTAACATTTTTATTTTGAACATTAACATTAATATTAATTTTAAACATTAATATTAACCAAAAATGCATATTTTTGGAGAAACATTTGTAATGCTATGAACAATTTAAAATATTTCTCTGTCTTTTTTAACCCTATTCCTGTAAGGGCCAGAGGAGATGGTGGGAAGATTTGACCCTCCCCCCCCCCATATATTTTGCTAAACGAAATAAGTATATATAAATGATGAGACTTCAGAGACGACTGCACAGAATTTAGTCAGTCTGTTTTCTTATATTCATGAGTCACATAAACTTGTTTCTTTCTTTGACCAATCAATAAAAAGGTCATAAAGAGCGACCTTACAATCGTCATATTTAGAGATTTTCAGGTCGTCTTTACAGTCTCATCAATTGTGAGTAACCAAATATAGTGTTTTATGCATTTTAAAATTTTCAGTCTTTTGAGAAAAATGCATAATGGCAAATGAAGCAGATTACGCAATTTTTTCAAAGAAATTTTTCAAACTTTTATCACCTCCCTTCAAGTGAATTAGCACATTTTTATTTTTACTAACATCAGGTATTTGACTATTCAGTAATATTTCTACATATTCAAAATAAAAAAAATGAACCTGTAGTATAGACAACAAGCCATGATTTTGATTCAGCATAACCCGCGTATATTAAACTTATCATAGAGCTAAACATCATCAAGCCCAGTCCTATATCCAGATACCTAAACATATAGAGATTAAACTTATCATAGAGCTAAACATCATCAATCCCAACCTTATATCCAAATACCTAAACAATTATAAAGATTAAACAACTTATAGAGACTTAAATAATGCATTTGTTAAACACTAAAATTGTGGCTATATTATGTTTCTTTGAGCTTGACTACTGTTCAATTTCATATTTCAGTTTGTCCATCAGATTCCTATTGTTAAAGTAAACCATATGTAATATCCTATTATCTAATGTATAAACAGTGTATACTCAGTAATCAGCAGATTGCAGATTTTTAATCAACATGATTGCCACTGTACACAAACTTTAGCTAAGTAATTGACCTCTCAATTGTTTTAGTGAAAATTGCACAAACTAGATCTTTAATTTATTACGTTTCCACCAAATCCTTCTTACCATACATATACCTAAAGATAGGCATCATTTTTGTCAACTCACAAAATATTTGAGAACTAACAAAATATTTAAAAACTAAAAAAAAAATATTTGAGAACTAACAAAATATTTATGAACTAAAAAAATATTTGAGAACTAACAAAATATTTAAGAACTAAAAAAATATTTGAGAACTAACAAAATATTTGAGAACTAAGAAATATTTGAGAACTAAGAAATATTTGAGAACTAACAAAATATTTGAGAACTAACAAAGTATTTGAGAACTAACAAAATATTTGAGAACTAACAAAATATTTGAGAACTAACAAAGTATTTGAGAACTAACAAAATATTTGAGAACAAAATAAATATATAAGAACTAACAAAATATGTGCTAAGAAAAAAAATACGAAAGACATGGATCGTTCAGAGAAATGAAAAGATGATTGTTTTTTTTAAAAGGAACCAAAAAAAGATTTCAAATCGTTAATTCGATCTCTATGATTCATGAACCATTTGTAAATTATTTGTTTGAACTTACTTTAAAAAACCTATCGTTTCTTTACTAAACGAACACAAACTTTCCGAAAGATTTTGAAAACCAAACCAAACCAAATTTTTCTAACAAACTTTGAAAACCGATCGTTTTTTATTACTGAAAGAACGGTTTTATGAAACAATGATTTTACTAAACAAACGATTTGACTGAACGACGGTTCAGTGAGAAAACGAACGAAGTAGATGGAAAATTAACAATAATTTTAAGAACGAACAAATCAATTTTTTAAACGATTGAATAAAAAACGAGAAGGGTTATTCACGAATGATGAACAAACCAAATGAAAAAAAAATTACTTATACCTGGCCATTATACAGACCTTCAAAACTTTCCTACTAACATCTATGAAGCTTTAAACCTCCCTTTAAACCTCTAAAGATAGGTTTAAACCTCCACACAGACCTCTAGTAATATCTTACCCTCAGTATAATCTTACAGGATTCCCATATATAGCCATTTAGACCTATAAAATGTTAAAAATTCCCATTAGACCTATAAAATGTTAAAAATTCCCATTTCGACCTATAAAATGTTGAAAATTCCCATTTTGACCTCTATAGAGTTCTTAATCTCCATTTGAGCTCTTAAAAGCCCTCCACACGGAACTCCAAAATGTGAACCTCTAAAAAGTTCTAAATTCCCTTTTACATCACCAGAAACATTCGATCCATCATAAAATGTTAATACTTCCTTCCTATCTCAATAAATTCTAAACTAATTCCAACCTGAGCTAGGAATTTATAAATTGTGGATATCACATCAAGCAATGATCTCGATCGTTTTTAATCTACAGATTAATCTAATCTTTATTCGATATCCCACGAGGCGCGAAATATCAACACATACAGCCAATCAGAATCCAGGGAATTGCCCGTCTAACCAAAAAGAGAAAAGAGAAAGTAAATTATCCGTAAAACTTAAAAGTGTCCACTGTGGATATCGAGATCAAACGGTCGGGATCATGAGTATTTAACAAAAAAATGCCAGCTGTGGAGAAAGTTCTAAACCTCGAAACTTCTAGAAAAATGAGAATTCTTTGCCGCTGTATTTTCTAAATGAATTGGACAAGGTGTCACCACCAAACCCAGAGAAAATGTAAATGTAAATTTAATTGAAGAAGTAGAGAGGGTAGAAAGGGAAGGGAGGGAAAAAGATAGGGAAGGGAAGGGGAAAAGAGAGGGGAAGGTAGGCGGGGGAAGGGGAACAGCGAGAGAAGAAAGAAAAGGGGAAGTGTAGAAGGGTATAGGAGAGGAGAAAAGAGAAGTGAAGAAGAAAATGGCGGTGAAAAGGTGGAAGTTAAGGATAGGTGACTGGGAGTTGAAGAAAGAAGGGAATTACACCGGGAAGGTAAAGTGGAAGTATTTTCTTTCCAAGAACAAGAAATGTTCATTAAGAATTTAATTTTTGATATTTCTTTTCTCCATAAATCTTCATTGAAAATACAAAAATTTGAATGCATAATGCATAATTGAAACTTGGAGTTCAGATTTGTATTAAAAAGATTTTGAATTTAGTTAATTCTAAAATACTGTTTAAATATTGAAGCAAAAGTATTGAGTTTCTGTGTTTGCTTCTCATTTGGAAGGAAATTTAAGATAAATTGTCAGATGCACACTTTAGACTTTCAACATACACCTTAATAGGTTTAAAAATAGATATAATATTCTCCTCAAGATGGATACAGATAAAAATCTATTTCAGGATGAATAGTCGTGGATGACTAAATGTGAAAATAGGTGCAAGGATGTATGTAAGGATGAATAAGAGGATGAATATAAGATTGAATATAAGAATGAATAGATAGATAGACAGATTCGAGTAAGGATGAAAATAGGAGGATGAATTTAAGAATGAATAAATGGATAGACATGATAGATATGAGTAAGGATGAATAGAATGGATTGAATAATGAATGAATAAAGGATAAATATAATCAATAATGCCATTTCAAACTAAAACAGTTATAGGAGAAGAATAAGATCAAATCTATGCAACACTTTTACGACTTTGTGGCCTCGTAGCTCCTCTAGTTTGCGCACAAGTATGCGAATTACAAGTTTATCTGGTAACACAGTAGAAATTCAAAACATTTTTGCTTTTCTCGAGATAGCTCTTGAATACGAGGAGATATGATTGAAAACACGTAAGATTTCAATCGTAAGTGGAAATTACTTCAGCTTAACGTGATGAATTAAGGTTTAACAAGAGGAAGTATATGATCACCAAGATGTAATATAGGGAAATTATACCAGACATCAATAATGAAATGAAGAGATAAAAAGTCTTCCTTTTCTGAAATTGCGCCCTCATAAAGCCTCCTAAAGTTCAATTTTTATACTTTCTGCTCTACTTTGTTCGAATAAGAAAGTTGGGTGTTATATATAAAAATAATTATCATTTAAATAAAAAAGAAACTGTACAGTGAATATTCAACATACATAATCACCACTACAAATTTGATCTTCGTGAAAAGGGGGCGGGGGGGGGGGGCCCCAAAACATATTTAATAAGAAATCACCAAAAGTTGTTTACCTCATCATCCTTAGATCATGTATTTCTGTTTGGCTGAGTACATATAGGTGGAAGCAAACCCAGATAAAGGAGAGAAATGTACCCAATCCTCCCAGTACAAGACTGTACAGCTTTAAACACCATCTAAATATGTACAAAATAAACACATAATACAAGACTGTACAGCTGTAAACACCATCTATGTACAGAATAAACACATAATACAAGACTGTACAGCTTTAAACACCATCTAAATATGTACAGAATAAACACATAATACAAGACTGTACAGCTTTAAACACCATCTAAATATGTACAGAATAAACACATAATACAAGACTGTACAGCTTTAAACACCATCTAAATATGTACAGAATAAACACAAAATACTAGACTGTACAGCTTTAAACACCATCTAAATTTGTACAGAATAAACACATAATACAAGACTATACACCTTTAAACACCATCTAAATATGTACAGAATAAACGCGCTTGTACAAGACTGTACAGCTTTAAACACCATCTAGTATGTACAGAATAAACACATAATACAAGACTGTACAGCTTTAAACACCATCTTAATATATACATCATAGCCAAAGCTGTACAGAACTGTACAGCTTCAAAAACCATTTAAATTCTAAATATGTACAGAATAAACACACTTGTACAATACTTACAGCCTTAAACACCATCAAAATATGTATACAGAATAAAAACGATTGTACAAGACTATAGAGCGACACCATCTGATCATGTACAGTTGTACAAGACTATACGGCTTCAAACAAATTAGTTTAACTGTTTACATTAACAGTCGAGAAGATATGTACTTATTTGTTTTCAAAAAAAAATTAACCAATTAATAGCTGGCATAATGTTTTGGTTGGAGGATCAACCACTGTTGATAAAATTCATTTTGCAAATAGTAACAAGGTATAACAGTAAAATTTAAATATTTAAAAATAATCATTTTTATTGTTATTTTTATCGTAAAACTTGTAATTATTCTAGAGTTATCTAGCTGGTATATGTACTCATAAAATAGTATATGATTACAATACTAAAGAATATAATGTTGTGTCACACCTAACACTCCTTTCATAAACATAGAGGGAGCGTTCTTAAATTTACCAGCATTGACTTAACTATAGAATTGTATTTGAAACCTATCTTGCCTGAAATCTTTTTTCATCTGTTTTTCTTTAGTAATGAAAGGATTGCAAAGTTAGCTCGTCGCTTAGAGAAAAGTTTTATTATTTTGATTTCCCACTGGGGCTGGGGCTTGCATATAGTTTAGATTTTAATAGAGCTCTTGAATACTACAGTGAGTGAAACTCTAAATAGCCCGGAATAATGAATAATTGATTAATGACTTTAAAGTCGTCTTTGACCTTAGACCTTAGTGTGCGGCATGAAACATTAGTGACCTGATTTCATTTATATTTTGTTATGAAACAATAATAACAGAATAGAAATAGTGCTGCCATTTCCAAAATGTGGTCTGCTATTTTTATCTTTAATAATAACCGGAGATCTGCATGATTTCCTTTAGAGTGATACATTTTAACATGGTTTTGTTTAATAAATTTTAACAAACTTATTTATATCTCTTTTATTTTTGAGAGCAAAAAATGGAAAACCACATTTTGGATATGTTAGCATTTGAATATTTTTTGTATTTATTTTTTCATTAAAAAATCTTCTTAAAATCAGTATATACTGAATGGCGCAAGCTACTTCTGATGTCAAAGACGACCCTAGATAAAATAGAATAGAATACCACTGTACTACAACTAACTATTGCCAGTTGAGTTAACTTTCGATCACAATTTGAGAAATTAAAAAGATAAAAACAACTCCGTAAGTTTAAAGATGGGCGAATTTAAGACTAAAACGTGATTGTACTCAAACTGAAAAAACGCATCTCGCCCTGGTTAGTGGTTAGTCCAGGGCAAGGTTGTATAATAAGGTTGGTTACTCTAGATGCGACTCAATGTAAGGAAAATGTGCTCTCCTTAGAATAGATAGATATAATTAGTAAATGAAGTCATTCTTGTCTCTATAATCAGTGACGTCATATGTGGATTTTATATGTCTATGCTAAGGAGACGTCATATTTCGTACATTGGAGCCCAACCTTAATAAAGAACCTTGTCCCAGGGTATATGTTCACGGCGTTAGCGAAACTGCTAAAATGTGTAGCAATTTTTTTTTGTAAAACAATAGTTAATTTTAAACAATGTAGTTTTTGCCACCAACTCTGATTTTCTAATCCAAAGTAATTAAGTCTTTGTTACTAACCGAGATTTTAAAATCCTTATATCTTTTCAACCTGATTGTGTAAACCTTTGATATTTCAAACTAAGATTATTTGATCTAACAGAGTTCATCCAAGGTCTACGACATTGTGTTGCAAAGATATAGGGATTAGAATATCAGAGTTTGTAGCAAAGGCTCAATTCCTTTGTTTGCAAAACAATGTAGTTTTCTCTCAGGTCATGTTTAGATAAAATAATTTAAGCTTTGAAATATCACGGGTGTACAGTACACCACCGGGTTGCAAAGAAATAAGGATAAGAACATTTGAGTTTGTGGCAAAGACTCAATTTCTTGTATTGTACAACAAATATTTGTTATATGTACATTGTACGTACTTTATCTAAATGTGTAAATAAATCATAAAAATAATATACGAGTCACTCTTTGAAGTTATTTTCTCCGAAAATATGCCAAATTAGTCTGAAATCTGAATAAGTTTGAATTTCTTGAATAAATATATGTATATCTGAGTACCCTATCATTCAAACCTTATACTCTGGGATCAAAGAAAGATTTACAATATTTTTCAGGATTTTAGAAAACCTTGAAACATCCTCAATCCGTCATAATCAAGTTTATAAGGATTATATATATATACTAGCTTGGGAACCCAGCGCTGTCTAGGTTACTAAAAGTAACTCCCGCAGTTTACCCGCACTTAAACGATTTTATCGGGAAACTAAATTTTCGCTATTAAAGTCCCCCCATTCAACTTAGAATATCAAAGCCAAGCCAAGAACATTCCCGTGGGCCTCCCGAGTTCCCCAATCAAAATTTGAGGCAAGTCGGTCCAGGGGTTCCTGAGTTATGATCGGACAAACAGAGATAATAACTTTATTTCTATAGATATGTGTATTTATATGTATATATATATTGAAACTTTTTTGGTGTATTAAACATCAACATATCTTAATTCTAAAGCACCAAAAATCGTTTTTTGATTTGCACAAAAAATATGGAAAGTCATTATCATTTAGATATAAGAATGTTTTTTGAGACATCATCGGATTTGGTCAAGGTAATGAAAGGGGTAGCCGGCGAAATTATGGATTCATTCAGATAGAAGATATTGATATCTTCCATATTGTTACTCAGAGAAAGGTTTGCATGGAGGGTAAGAGATTACTGGTCGTTGGCAGCTCCTTAAAATATCCAAATAAATCCCGATTGCTATAAAAATTTTCAAAGCTAGGTAGACTTTGAAGTGTCGCAACGCCTTCGCTTTTAGTTTTACATTACTAACTCACTTAACCTTAACTTCTTTTTTCAGAAGTTTTTGCTTAAGAGCTTGCAATCATTAGGATTGATCACTGCGAACTATATAGAAGGTAAAGGTTGAATATTTGAGCCATTACTAGTGCGACTTTGTGACCTCGTAGCTCCTTTAGTTTTGATTTTATGAAGAAGCATGATTGAGAAAGGCAAATTTATTTGGTTAAAAATTAGGAATTTAAAAACATTTTTGTTCTTCTCAATAGTTTTTCAATCAAATGCTTGAAAGCATTTCAGATTTCAATTTATTTTAGTTTAACATAATCCTTGTAATTGTTGATTCTTTCTAAACAATTGACCTGAAAGATGTGATGGAAGGACAGCGCAGTTTAAACTCTATGCTGTCATCTTCTTCTTGACAGGTATTGTATTGGTAGGAATATACTGGAGGACATTTCTCATCTCCAGTCCCCCTAAATATACTTTATTTATTAGTAGGAACATACTGGAGGACATTTTTCATCTCCAGTCCCCCTAAATATAGTTTATTTACTGGTAGGAATATACTGGAGGACATTTTTCATCTCCAGTCCCCCTAAATATAGTTTATTTACTGGTAGGAATATACTGGAGGAAATTTTTCATCCCAGTCCCCCTAAACATAGTTTATTTATTGGTAGGAATATACTGGAGGACATTTTTCATCTCCAGTCCTCCTAAATATAGTTTATTTACTGGTAGGAATATACTGGAGGACATTTTTCATCCCAGTCCCCCTAAATATAGTTTATTTATTGGTAGGAATATACTGGAGGACATTTTTCATCTCGAGTCCCCCTAAATATACTTTATTTATTTGTAGGAACATACTAGAGGACATTTTTCATCTCGAGTTCCCCTAAACACAGTTTATCTATTGGTAGGAATATACTGGAGGACATTTTTCATCTCCAGTCCCCCTAAATATAGTTTATTTATTGGTAGGAACATACTGGCGGACATTTTTCATCTCCAGTCCCCCTAAATATAGTTTATTTATTGGTAGGAACATACTGGCGGACATTTTTCATCTCCAGTCACCCTTCTAGATGTAGTTTCTTTGCATTTGATAGAAAATTTTATGAGAATGAGCAATTTTTTACAGATCAGATTAGGGTTTCAAGTCACATTAATTTCACTAGAAAGGGATCATTCATTTGGCGTACCGTCATGTTTTGCCTCATATAGTCTGTATCTGTACTGTAGTGCTTGTCCTGACTAGTTAAAATTCGGCCCGGTACATGAAATGAACTGTAGCGTACCGGGAAGTGTACCGCCGCTGTGAAGCGGGCATACCATACCCCTCTTTAAATAATGGGTTACTTTAAATAACAAAAACAGGCAATTTAAATATTAAAATATTTTTAATTTCATTCAGTTCTATGTTCTAAACAGTCATTGTTTATGTTTAAGACTCGTTCTTTGTTTATGTTTTAGACTTAAATAGGACTTGAGCTAAGATTCAAAGGTAGAATTAAAACTTGAGGTTTTTCATTTTACATAACTTTCTCTTCTAAGACATTTAACTATACTTTGAGTTTACAAATTAAGGCAAAACCCTGGAATATATTATAACAAAATTAAAATAAAATTTAGAATGGATCGTTCAGATATAATAAATGTAATCAAATGGCAACAAATTGTATAAAGGTCAATGTCAAATTTGATATTTGCGAATTATTTGAGATTCTAATTAATGGTCAGAATATTTATCATCTCTCACAAAAAATGACAAAAGCACCCTAGAAAAATGTGATTTAATAATTTTATCATTCCAAAAAAGTTTTCTTTATTTTTCTTAAGGAATCGAGTCTTTGGCCTTTGCCACAAACTCTGATTTTCTAATTTCTATGTCTCTGCAGCCCAATGTGTAAGATCTTAGATATTGTTGCATCAAATCATCTACGTTTGAAATATCAAAGGTTTTCACTATCACAGGTTGCAAAGACATAGGGATTAGAAAATTTGCATTTGAGGCAAAGACTCAAGTCCTTTTTTCCCCATAAAATCAACAATTTTAACTATTTTTGCAAGAAAAACTCATTTTCGTTGTTGTTTTTGTTTAAAAATTAATATAATGCCCCCCTTCCCCCTCTTTTTCTTTATCCTTATGCGAGGGGCATTAATTGAGTCTTTGCCACAAACTCTGATATTCTAATCCCTTTATTCTTTGGATTCCAATATCGTAGACCTTTGACATTTCAAACTACGGCTTCATGTTAGACCAAATAATATAAGTTAGAAAAATTAAAGGTTTACGACATTGGGTTCCAAAGATATAGGGATTAGAAAATCAGAGTTTGTGGCAAAGACTAAATATCTTTGAACAGCCTGAGTACAATTCTATTAGAGCTGTCCTCTTGCCCCCCCCCCCATTTCTCCGTAGGAAAATGGTTAGTCGAGAAATGGATGAAATTGTAAATAAGGGTTATAGTTTAATATTCTTTATTGGAGAGAGATTTCTTATCCCTATATCTTTGCACCGAGATGGTTTAAACCACCTTAGGGTATTTAAAAAAAATCAAATTCGTCAAATTTTAAAGGTCTTACAACAACTAACAATCAAATCCCTTAATCTTTGCAACTGATAGTATAAACCATTGATATTTCAAACTTAGATTGATCATAACAGAATTCATAGTTTGAAATATCTACGATCTACGACATATTGGGTTGGCAACAAATTGGGATCAGAAAATCAGAGTTTTTGACAAAGACTCAATTTCGTTGTATACTATCTCATCCGAGACATATTCTCCTCTTTTTCTAGTCCAAGCCACCTCAAAATCCTCGTCCTCCCAATATTACTTTTTACCATATGACCAACCCTTGTAGATAAAAATAAAATATTAAATTTTCCCAAAAAATTTATAAATTTGTGAAAAAATGAATATGCTCCAAAAACGATGTTCTAAAAATCATTGGGAAGGACGAGCATTTTGTGGTGGCTCTGACGAGAAAATGAGGAGATTGTGGCTCGGACGAGAAATTGTAGCAGTTGGCCTTCCTCCCCTCGTTGTATAAATGTTTATTGACCTGTACGAATACGAATATGATGTCATTGTATCCTGTCTGCCATGTTCTCCCATCAACTAGATCTAATAGATCCACCCTTCAGACATTCTGTAACCCTGACGGACAACATCCTGAATTATAAAAGAAATTAACAGGGTTGTCAACTTTTTCCCGAATCAACTTTTTTTAAGGTGGGCCTCCTGGATTCAAAAGGTTACCATTGATCAAAAATGTTGAAGATAACGTCGTTTTTTGTCTCGAAGTGTTCATTTCTGTGATTTTCTCCATTGCTTTTGTTAAGGAAGAAATGCGCACTGTGCAAGTCGCTGAGAGAAACTACAAATGAAAATAAACAGTTTAAATAAACAAAATCATTTAGTTCTATAATTCCTAATTGATCAAAGAAAGCTTTGTAAATGTTTGCAATTTTGAAATTACGCCAGAATTTAAAAAGAAATTAAAACGGATTCCAAATTTTTCCGCGTTATAGTATTTTCATGCCAACGCCGAACTTCCTCATGAACATTTTTTATTTGAAAAGGAAGTTTAACTTCCTTGGAAGACACAGAACTAAAAGTGCGAAAATTGTGTAACATAGATATTACTATCAGAGGTTTACAGGTTGCAAAGATATACCATTTGAAGTTTTATGCAAGTTTTTAGGTTCTTTGAAATAGAAAAATAAAAAAGTCAGAACTTTATAGTTTTTTGAAAAAATGGTCGATTTTATAGTAGCTGTTTTAAAAGTATAAGCAAGTTAAAGATTCCAACAGTTTAAACCCCCCCCCCCCCCAACGGCCCCTATTCAAACATAGTTATGTAAACACAACCATTTAAAATATGAAATTAGCCTTGTGAACACATTTTGGTTCTAAATAAAACCCATGATTTATATTAATGAAAACTTCTATAAAAATATGGGAATTCTTTAAAAAAAACCTGAAACTATTTTTTCACATGAAATCTAAATTTTTATTTTATAAATTTCTAAAAATTATTTTTAATTTTTAAATCTGACTCTTTTCAAGATTTTACAAAAAAACTACTAAAAATATATATATTGTGTTATAAACAAACTTGAATTCTCAATGCTGGAAATGTAAAAAATGTAAACTAAAAAGATCAACAAACAATGTTAGACATTAAACAAATATAAACATATGTTTTACAAAGATAAAGACAATAAACGTTGTCATCGTGATTTCAAGTTCTCACTTACTCACAAACTATCCATTCAAAGTAAATTTTAGCGCCTGATCCGATCAGGGTTTAGTCATGTGTTTGTTTTCTATTCTGAACCAATAGAAAAAAGTTTGGCGGTAACATCTATCTTTGAATCTATCTCATTATCCAATCAGAGTTATGAATCCTTCAATCGGTGCTATCAGTAAATGGAAATATTTACTTCTACTGAAACTATAGTGATTGAGCGCATTGTTAGTTTTCAATCATAACTCGTCTTATCCATTTCAAATAAAATCAAATCAATTTTTATATCTCAAACTTGTGCGTAAAATAAGAACTATTAGGAGATACAAGGTCAGAAAGTTGTACCAGTTATGTCGCGTCGCATAAATTTGATCTTCTCCGCGATTTAAAAAACTTCAGCACAAGCCGTAATTCCTTAAACCCAACTTTATAACCTAATATTCGACCCAACTCTGACGACAGCTTGTGTTACGTGATTAACAGCTTCAAGATCTTCGGCTCAACTTAAAGAGTTTGGCCCGATGAAAATAAAACCGACCTTGGTTGGTTTTAGTGGACAATAAGACTCATAATGTTGAGTCTTGTTCTAATCAAAACCCGGAAAATTCCTACCACGAAAATCCACCAAATAGAATATTAAACCGGTTTTTTGAACTCAACTCTGTGGAAAATAAGACGCAGCTTGAATCCGAAAGCTCAAGCCGTGAATAAGGTCCAACGACAGCCTAGACCTAAGTCGTATTTTCCCGAGGCCGAATTTAAAGAATTCGAGCGGCGGCTTAAACTTAAGCCTCGGCTCAAATATGTTTGGTTTCACTTAAAATTCTATTCAATGTTTCAAGATTTAAGCCGGCGCTCAATTGAAACCGGATTTAAGACGCTGCTCAAATTCATTAAATTCGAACACCGATTTTTTTAAATTGCAGGCTATGGTAAAGTGTGATATATAAATGAAAAGTACTTGAAAAGGCGCGTCTACGTTCCCTGTAAAAGTTATTGTTTAATTGAAGGCTTTCTAAAAATTACGTTGAAAAATATTTTTAATTAATTACTTCTGAACAAATTTATATATCCATTATACTGACACAGAAAGAGAGTATTAAAACATATTTTATAGGATCGGAGACAAATTGATTTAAGAATGCACTACACTTGTAGTTTAAATTTGTCAATAAAAATTTAATTGATTTTGTTCTTTGCTTTCATTTAAATATTCCTAACATATGCTTTCAGAAATAAATGACAAGAAAAACTTTTTCTATAAATTAAAAAAAATTATTAAACATAAATGATCATACTTTAAATTAGATAATTGAGTAAATATTTCATTTTATGTTTTGGAAAAAATTTATTTTTTATCATAAGCCCGAAAAATTGAAATTTTAGTTTTTTAAATATGCGATCCAATCGAGCAGAAGCTTTTTAAAAGGATTAGAACAAATTATAATTAAAAATGTCTTTAAAACAGGTTCAATAATTAAACAATTAAAAACTTCAAATTTGTCTACAAGAAAACGGACTTGTATTCTATATTTCAAAGAGAAATATTTATCAAGAAAACAAAAATTTGCCGTGCTCATATCACTGTACACTATAAGACAGAAGGGTTCGGTAAATTATGCAACAAAACTGGTACGACTTTGCTACCTCGTAGCTCCTTCAGTTTTGAATTTTATGCACAAGTACGAGAACAACGTTTGTATCCAATTATCTAAGTTATTCATAACAGGTTGGTTCTTCTCAAAAGCTCATTAACAAGAGCAGAGCTATGATAAAAAATGAAGAAAAAAAATAATTATATAACACTTCTAATTGAAGAGCTGTTGAGAAAAAAAAAATGTTTGTATTTATGTATGAATAAAATGATTTTCTAATATTTTTCCGTAAACACAAACTTTGTAAAATAACAAAACTATCTTTTTGGTTTACACCGATTAAAACTGTTTTCTTTGGAGTTTACAAAATGTTAAAACTTTTTTTGCAACTAAAAACACATGTTGTGTCTTTCAAATAAGTATTCTGAAGAAAAAATATGTTTTTAGAAAGAATGTTTTCTTATAAAGCTGTTGTACAAACTGGGCTTCGGATTGTTAATAAAACAACTTCAGATAGATTTTAGCAACAAAAAAAACGCCAAAAACGGTATTTTCAGGGACATATTATCGGCAGTTTTACTCTGATTTTATGCCATTCGCTTCAATCTTAAAAATTAGGTTGAACAAGTAATAAAACAAAGAAGCCGAGCCTTGATATATTATAATTTCATTACTAACACATACGTTTTTAACCAAGGCTTTAAAGGTTTAACATGATAAATCATTTATGCATAAATAGATGACACTTTTTAAATTAAATGGCTAGTCCCTTTTTATATCTTATTGAGTCACGCTTGATTTTCTCGATATTTATGTAAACATGTCTTTAATGGGAAATTTAATGGAAAAGTTATTCTGTGTTAAGGTAATAAAGTTTATATAATGACCCGTTATTATAAATGTTTTATGACTGAATTATTGAAGAAAGGGTCTATTTTTTCACACGTTATAGAAAAATTCCGAAAATTTGGCGGATTTATAACAATTTGAAAACTTTAACATGTCAAAAAACATACTATATTAGATCATGTCAAGGGCCCACAAAAATGCTCGCTTGCCGGGTTCAGTTGTTTTGCAGAACTAATACTTAAACAAATAAACAAACAAACAAAATACATTTTTATATTATGTTTGTTTTTGCAATTTTTAAGTGGAATGTCAGATTCACAACGGTACCCTTTAACAAATTATGGAGGTTTTTCCTTTCTGAAAATTGAATATTTTCTCTTGCGTTTCTCTAGAAAAAAACTTGCGCACTTATGCAGCAAAGAAAAGGAAAAACATTTTGCTATGAAATTTTTTTTTCACCCGGTGCGGGACTAAAGGGTCCGGTTGTGAATGTGCAAATTAACGTACTTTTATTAAACATCACTTGAAATTACGCCGATAGTTATTTTATAAAAGTAACATTTAAATATCTTTCTTGATATCATTTGTTAAGTTTTTTAAGTGCTAGATGTTTTAATTCATACATATAGCTCTATTTTCCAATAAGCTATCAAAAAAATGGGTTTAAATTTTCTATTATGAAATTAAATAGTTTGGATTTCCAAAAACTTGGGCGTAAAATTAAAACTCGAGGATCTACGATGTCACAGAGAGACGTAACAGTAATTTCGCATTTGATACTTTTGTATGTTCAGAGGGTTGTCAAATAGAAGACTTATCTCCTCAATTTCTAATCTAAATTGAGTGCTATAAAAGAATTACAAAAAAACTTATTGCTTTAACAAAACAGGTATTTATCATTACTTTTTTTATTGACTAATATTTACCTTGCCCTGTATTTTCATCTATAAAAGTTCTCAACCTTTATATAGAAGTTGATTGTATAAACCCTTCCGGAGTTTAATTTTCAATTCCTTGATTGCATTCTCCTCCTTCACTATAGTTTTATTCTCTACATATATATATGTACACTTGTCCTTCTTTAGGGTTGGTCAAACAAGTTGTTTTTTCTTGTTAAAACCGGTTTTCATTGTTATTGTTTGAGAGGAGGAGGCTGGTGGGTTGAGGTCGGTATACTGTTATATCCTCTCCTGTTACCTTTACACTGTCAGATATACAGCCTCCATCCTAGCCTCTAGATAGATAGATAGATAGATAGAAAGATAGATAGAAGAAAAGATAGATTGATAGATAGATAGATAGATAGATAGAAGGATAGATAGATTGATAGATAGAAGAAAAGATAGATTGATAGATAGATAGATAGATAGAAGGATAGATAGATTGATTGATATATATAATGATAGATAGATAGATAGATAGATAGATAGATAGATAGATAGATAGATAGATAGATAGATAGATAGATAGATAGATAGATAGATAGATAGATAGATAGATAGATAGATAGATAGATAGANGGAGAATAAAAGGAGTTAGTGCTGAACTTTTTTACATTAAATTATTCAATAAACTTGTAGTTTTCATCAATAAGAGAAGACCTAAGGAGAGGGGGAAGAGAGGAGAACTAAGGCGAGGAGAGTAGTACTAAGGAGAGGAGAGTAGAACTAAGGAGAGGAGAGTAGTACTAAGGCGAGGAGAGAAGTACTAAGGAGAGGAGAACTAAGGCGAGTAGAGTAGTACTAAGGAGAGGAGAACTAAGACGAGGAGAGTAGAACTAAGGAGAGGAGAACTAAGGCGAGGAGAGTAGAACTAAGAAGTGGGGAGAAAGAGAAGGGAAAGAATGAAAGGAGAATAAAAGAGAGGAGAGAAGAAGACTGTGACTACGGATTGTCACCCATTGTATTCCCGAAAAGTGTAAATATTCTAATTTTTATTGAATAATCCAGTAACCTTCAATATGAATGTTGGCAGTTACATATTTCCCAATCAATGATTGGCAATCTCTAAGGGTTAATTCTAAAGTGCATTAGAGGACCTACATTATACAAATGCATATAATCTTTGTATGCTTTAAGTTTGATTGACGTTGGGGGTAAGGGGGGGGGGGCATGCACCCCAGTAGCAAAAATCGTGGAAACATGATAATCTGTAAAACTGCATATTAATGATTTAATGTTGTAAACTTAGACATAATGACATTTTTCATTGAGACTGCGTTTCACATGGAATACTTAACAATATTAGCTTAAATCATGCAACATACTTAAATTACACTATAAAACATGTGCGAAGATATCTTAACTGCGTTATATCTATTCTCTCTAATCCTAAAAAATTGTATAATAAATTTTAACTGTGCGATAAATACGTAATATGAAGGGTTTAATAATGTGATAACGATATCATTGTAGGAATTGTAACTATGTTAATTCATGTTAATTTTGTGACATAAGATATTAAATAAAGTTAGTTGGTTGAGACTCACCTTTGATTACGGTATAAGAAGTAAATTGGTTCCCGTTGAAACATACGAGTGTTGATAATACCTTGAGTATTGGTATTGATCTATTGATTGCTAGTGTCTGTATTGATATTGATAGCTAACAATATCACGCCCTGTATATTGGAGTTGACTAGTAACGGGATTGTAGCCGTGTGGATCATGTCCTGGTTGAGACATTAATCAATTGATTGCTAGTGTCTGTATTGACATTGATAGCTAACAAGATCACGCCATGTGCAGAGGCGTTAATTAGTGACAGTATTGTAGGCTGGTGGATTGTGTCCTGATGAGACATTAATCAATTTATTGCCAGTGTCTGTATTGAGATCAATAGCTAACAAAATGGCATCCTTATTAGTCACGGGATTGTAGCCGTGTGGATTGTGTCCTGGTTGAGACATTGATCAAATTGGATTATCCCTATCATTTGGGATTGATATATATGTAGCTTGTTGATAGCTATGCTTGTGTCCCTTTGTGACATTTAGAGCCTGGGATTCTGTCCTGGTCAAGTTTGATAGGGGACAGATTGTACCTGGATAGATACATTTCGAGACCTTGTTATGGAGTAGGTGCTTTGAAAATGGACATTTATAAGGTAAATACAGGAGGAATTGTAAATACAGGAGGAATTGTAAATACAGGAGGAATTGTAAATACAGGAGGAATTGTAAATACAGGAGGAATTGTAAACATTTCCAGGAAAAAACACAATTCTAAGATTTAGAATATCATAAATGTTTTCCATTTTTTATTTGTTTCGGTTTAAGACGTTGTGATGTTATTTACATTTCTCCCAGAAACTGCAGTACACTTTAAATATAAACAAATATATTGCTGTTTCTAATTTTTCATTGGTTCTAAGCTCTAAAGACTTTTGCTAGAAATGAAAAAATAATAAAAAAATAATCGTAACAAAAATGTATGATTCCGTTCAGCAGTATAAAAATTGTTTAAGTAATAGCCTTAATCAGTCACATATGGAGTATGCATAGGGTTTGCAGGGAACAAATTCTTTCGCGAACAAATGCGAAATTTCGCGAAAATTTTCTATCTTAATTCGCAAACTTTTTCGCGAAATTTGCCATTTTTCGCGAAAATGAATTTTGCGAAAGGGATTTCGTGAACATTTTCTTTCGTCTCAAATTTTTTCGCGAAATTTGGCATTCTACGCGAAAATGAATTTAGCGAAGGAATTGTGTGAAAAAAGTATGCAAAATTTTGGCAAAAATTACAGAAACTCGAAACAAGATTTTTCGCAAAATTTTAGCTATTTTTGCGAAAAAACTCAAAAAGATATGCATGTTGCAGAAAAAAGCAGTTAGAGCAGTGACAAATAAAAATATAGCTCGCATTCAGATACAATTTTTCATAAGCTAATTCACAATCTTTTAAAGAATGAGAAAAATGAGAAAACTAGATCGAAATACTTTGATTTTTAAACATGAGCATGTACTAATAATAATTAAAAGAAAAAATGTGAATAAATATGCTTTGCGTGTGGGTTTTGGATTATGGTTGTTATAATCCAGGTTTACAAAGGATTATTTTCAACTTATCATTTTTATCTAGAAAATAATTCTCAGGGTGGGTTTAAACTTTAAACATTAAAAACATCAACATCATGAATCAAGAACAAAATATATAAATAAAATACACAATTCCGGAATTCTTCAAAACATCTGATTCCGTAATTCTTTAAAATGTCTAATTCCGGAATTCTTCAAAATATCTAACTACGGAATTTTTTTAAATGTCTTATTCCAAAATTCTTTAAAATATCTAATTCTGGAACTGTTTAAAATACATAACTCACGAATTATTTAAAATGTCTAATTCCGGATTTCTTCAAAATATTCAATTTTCAAAATATCTAACTCCGAAATTCATTACAATGTCTACTTCCAGAATTCTTCAAAATATCCAATTCCGGAATTCCTTTAAATGTCTAATTTCGGAATTAATCAAAACATCTAATTTCGAAATTCTTTAAAATGTCTAATTAAGGAATTCTAAAAATGTCTAATTCTTCAAAATATAAAATGACGAAATTCTTCAAATTGTCTAATTTCGAATTTTTACCAAAGACCGGAATTTTTCAAAACATCTATTTTAGAAATCAAAACTTTAATTTAATTTTATCTTGTAATATAATTGCTTTGAAATTCTTTAATCCATTTTTTTCTAAATTCAAAGTTTAAACAGTTTAGAAATATCTAAATATCTAAATATCTTAAATCTAAATATCTAAATATCTAAATATCTAAATATCTAAATATCTAAATATCTAAATATCTAAATATCTAAATATCTAAATATCTAAATGTCTAAATGTCTAAATATCTAAATATCTAAATATCTAAATATCTAAATATCTAAATATCTAAATGTCTAAATATCTAAATATCTAAATATCTAAATATCTAAATATCTAAATATCTAAATATCTAAATATCTAAATATCTAAATATCTAAATATCTAAATATATATCTTATTTTGTTCACTGTCCTTGTAATTGTTGCAGAATCTGTCTCCTCAGTAAAGATGGGCGCGTTCTTTTTTTCTATTTTGTTCGTTCATCGTTCATGAACAATACTTTTCGCTAGTTCTTTTTTTAATCGTTTAAACAATTTGATTTCGTTGGTTGTCAAAGTAATCGTTCATTTTCCTTTTTTGTTCGTTTACACACTAAACGATTTTTCAGTAAAATTGTTCGTTCAGTTAAAAAACTATCGTTTTTTAAAAGTTTGTTCGAAAAAAATTTTCGGTCAGTGAAAAAACAATCGTTTTGTCAAAAGTTTGGTGAACAATCGTTCAATCAAAAAAGCAATCCCCATCTCTAGTCTCCTGTAGTTTCTATTTTCTAATCCTTTACAATTTTCCTAAAATCTCTAGCTGCTGCAAATTTACCGGGGCGTAAAAACACTTTGTTTTCTAGAGCTGGGCAAAAAATGTAAAATATCATGAAAAATGGCGTGGGGGCACGAGTTTAGCAGAACTAATGAATGCTACAGGAAAAAGAAAATTTTAAGATTTGCGTGAAATTCCCAGTTGTCAAGTGATAAATCAGCTACTGTTGACACTCTTCAGCATATATCACACGGATATACTCATCTGAATGCATTTAGAGCATTTTGCAGCTGTACTCTACCTTTTAAGGGATAGTTCATGGATTTGAAAAGGGATGAGTTACAATTTCTACACATTCTTCAGAGAGTGTCAGATTCAATTTTTGGATTCATTTTAGAGTCCTCCAAAAACGTGTTTTATTAACCAAAACCGTTAAAAACTCTTTAGACTAGTCAAATTTTACATTCTTCTTATGTTTAGTGAACGAAACAGAAGAAGAAGGTAAGATTGGACTTTCTGACCTTTTTGCTCCTATAGTGTTCGATTTTTACGCACAAGAATAAGACAAGTAAATTAGAAAACATTTTAAAAATCTAAAACATCTTTGTTCTTTTCAAGAACTCTTTAATAAAAGGAAAAAATATTCAATCTTATGTGCAATTTACTTTAGTTTAACGTGAACATATTCAATCCTATGTGCAATTTACTTTAGCTTAACGTGAAAATATTCAATCTTATGTTCAGTTTACTTTAGTTTAACGTGAACATATTCAATCTTATGTGCAATTTACTTTAGCTTAACGTGAAAATATTCTACCTTACGTGCAATTTACTTTAGTTTAACGTGAAAATATTCAATCTTATGTGCAATTTACTTTAGTTTAACG